TACCATCTCCTCCCTCCCTCTCGCTCAACAACTGATCCAACTCCCAAAAGATAACTCATCGCTAAACTTGGATATCCTTCCCAAAAAAGCACATACGTCTTGTATAAATAGTAAGTATATTTATACATACCTATACATGTTTATATGTATGTATTTATACATACCTATACATGTTTATATGCATATATACATATATAACATATATACTTATATGTATAGGATAGATAATGTTCTGCACCTTGGTAATTCTACAACAGTCTCACTGGGTCAGTTGCCTTCAAAGGACATCTCAAAAGACCTCTTTTTGGCCAGAGATTTAGCTCAGCGGTTCGGTGGCCTGCCTCGCAAGTGCAAGGACCTGAGTTCGATCCCCAGTACAAAAAAAAAAAAACTCTTTTTATCGGCTGCATAGTATTCCTTAAGGAGAATATAATATAACTTACACAGTCCCCTCCTGATGAGTATTGCAACATTTTCTGCTGCAACAAATATTGCCACCTATCTAATTTAATATCCTAATGCAAATGTTTCTGAAAGATACAGTATAACAACTGAAAGTACTGGATATATGGGGATGGTAGATGTATTATAGATTTTTCTAGGAATTAATAAGTAGTCCACCAAACATACAAAACATACACAGTTCTACTCACTCCTACTCACTGTGTCATAATGCACTTTAAAATTATAGCAGGGCTGTACTGAACAAACCTTGTAAGGAGCAAAGCTTGCGAAAGAATCACAAAGTCTAAAGTGAGAATAGGAGCTAATATTTACCAAGTGCTTAACTTCCAGACACTGCACTTGACCCTTTAGATAGCTCAACAATACTGTGAGTAGCATCAACTCCATTTTCTAAAAGAGGAACTAAGGTTCAGAGAGTTTACTCAAGACGATATAGCCTTATAAGTATCAAGACTAGTATTTGAGCCCAGGGTAAATGGCACCAAAGCAAGACCATATAGAGCTGCCAAAACCGGGGCCAAAATGAGAAACTCGCAGGCTCAAATGTTAATTTCATGCTACCGCAAAAGTCTTAGTTGGCCCTTTCAGACTTTACCTACAAACCCACTCTTAGGCTATGCTTACCAATCCAGCTCCAACCCAGCAAGAGAGCACAATAAGCCCACGATCCGCAGGACTCAGAAGGGCTGACCAATGTGTCCTTCAGAACATTGACTGATAGGCAGGGAGGAGGGGAAGTGAGAAACAGATGGTGGGCTAGCGTGGCAGTGTCAGATATTTTGGACCCGTGTCAGTTATCACAAAAACATTATGGAGGAAGTAGAACTATTGTACACAAGAGAAAGAACCACATTTAACTGACACAGTCTGTTTATGCCACCTTTCCTTGCCTCAAACACTTGCTACTTCTGCTGCATAAACATGCAGTCCCAGTAACTTCAGGATGGCACTTAATCACACACAAAGTCAGCTGAGAGCTCCCCAGTCTGACAAAACTGGTTAGACTGGTATCAGGCTAGTTCTCTGCCCAGCTGCCTGCAGCTGGCATGGCAAGGTCTGGGGGCTGCTTTCAACTTCCCTGGAAGGTCAGGTCTGTGGCCACCTTCTCTTGTAGCTGCCTTGGCCTGTTTTCAGAGAAGAGTGCTTAGAACTGTCCCTTGGTGGTTGGGAGGGATCCTCTCCACCATCATCATCATCCTCTCTTCATGTCTTCAGCTCCTTTGCACACAGCGAGAGCTTAGTGTGGGGTCTGTTCGTGCATACCACTCTTTAAAAAAAAGCAACTCTTTCCTGGGAACAACAGGGTAAGGAGAAGGAAGGAGAGAGTGAGAGGCAAGAAAATGTTTGCCTCTTTTCCTGTTTTGTTTCCATCTCAGGAGCAAGGCTCCAGAAGTTCCATGTAGAATCAACAATTGAAAGGTCACTGAAAACTGATACTGTAACATAATATGATTTAAATAGAGAGAAGTAGGTGGCAAATTGAGGCAACTGATTTCAAGAATACCTTAAAATGCCAACAAAGGTGACATAAAACAGAGGCATGAATGCATGAGTAGTTGATTCCACTTCCATAGTTCAAAAATCAAAAAGCACAAAAGGGTACCTAGCATGCAAAAGTACAAAAGGGCGCATATTCCTATCTCACATTCAGCTACTCCCTCCACCCCACACCTGCAGAAACCAATGTACCTAGTCTACTGCACGTCCTCGTACAGATATTTTACGACTATACCAGCTTATATATGGATGTCTTTTAAATACTGAAGACACACCACTCAAACTGACATGTCACTTCAACATAAAAAGGTGATGGAGGGCTGGGGGTATAGCTCAGGTGTGCAGCACCTGCCTGGCAAGTGCAAGGGGCTAGGTTAGATCCCCAGCACTACAAAAGAAAATTAGAAGAAAAAGCAGCAGAAATTAGACTTTCTTAAATTGTTTCAAACAAATGGTTTTTAAATCCACAGTTAAACTCCTTTATTAATAAAAATTTGCCAATATTTAAAAGTTAAATGTTTGTCTCCATAAATTAAGTCGATTACCAAGCACACAGTGAATATCTAACAAATTTCCTTAGGTCTTTGTATTCTTTATTACTCAGAACCAAGAGGAGGATTACTCACTTCCTCTACTGATATTGAGAAATAAAATCTGATTTCTTGCTATTTAAAAAGAGAAGTTCAGAAGTATCTGTACCACATTCACTTAAATGTTCAAAGATTTGCTTGACTGTAGTAATCATCTCACATGTTGCTTTAAGTGAAGCACGTTTTAAAAAGATTGTGAAACTGATCAAAATCCCCATCTCAATAATCTTTAGTACGTAAAAACTAATTAGATAATCAAAAAATATACGAATTCAGAATGGAGGAGGGCTTGAAAAAAAAGCAAAATATTCCTGAGGAAAAAAGAAATATGTCTTCACACAATTACAATCTACATCAAAACAGCATTCAGTATAACCTAAGACATCACATACTGACAAAGTAAATATCTTTATACATTTAAAAGTAACATCGAGACAGAAAAATACACAACAAAATTACACAGGAAACCTCTGAGATGATATTACGTTTTCTGAATCACTGTGAAGTAAATCAGATCTGTAACATGATTGGGACATGGGAGCATGACCCTAAAGACTAAAAGGTTGAGAAGAGTTTTAAAAGTACGTATCAGCAAAGGAAATTTCCACTGTCATGGGTAAGCCTTAAGATAAACAGTAGGTGACTGAATTCTTAAAAACATGGCATACTCCTCTGAAAAAAAATTTTTTTAAATCCCTGTTTATTTTCTAAACCCCTGAGCAGGTATTTATGGGCCTGCCAAATTTACTTTTTTTTTTCTGTATCAGGGATTGAACTCAGGACCTTGCACTTGTGAGGCAGGCAGCGGCACCCTGAGCTAAATCCCCAGCCTCAAATCTACTTATTTCATATTTCCTTGAAGGAATTGAGTCTAGGGTCTTTAAAATAAATATATTTCCATGATTATGCATACATGTATAAAGGCAGTCTTTATTTGCAACATAGCTCAAGACAATCACCTGAATTGACAATGTGCTACAATTGCCTACTCACTATTTGCTCAGGAAACCTCCAGGCTTACCTGGCACCCTGGCATCAGTCATTTGTCACCAAATGACACAAACTACGGGGCTGACGAACAGCCAGGTCTGGAAGCCAAAGTCTGTCGTAAGTCCTACAATTTGCAATAACCTACTGTGTTTTAGACCTAGTCCTATTTCAATTCAGTATCTGTTTAGGCCACTGCTTCTTCAAAACTGGAGGGCTTCTGACAGCACTTGCCCCTTATGTGGTTTGTTTGAAAAGGTCTGGTGGCCAGGAGCCCAGGCTGTCAACAACCAAGCAAGAACCAGAGAAACAAGGCCCAGAACCAAGGATAATTTTCACATTAAAGATTAAGGTGTCAGCTTTCCACTCTCTATCAGGGAGCCCTAGATGGAAATTGAGTGGAGAGATCTTTCCAGTATAAGCGATGAAGTAAAATGCTCTCTCTTGGGAACAGTCCTGAAGTGGTTATCTATTTCACCGGAGGACGCAAATGTAGGCTTTAATGACGCTGAGTTAAACTCAAAAAGAGAACACATGTCTCTAGTTTGGAGGCAAGGGAGTGTGGGGCGGGCATTGAGGAGGGAGAGGGATGATTCGTATTATTAATGAGATTTGTGCTGACCACCATGCATGTAACACACTGTGTCCTATTAAATCCAGAAAACGACGGTGGCATCGGCCCATCCCTTTAACAACAAAAGAAAGCTGACTCCAGAATAAAAACCACTACTTTTCCTCCGCACTCGGAAATGCATGTTCAAAATCATTCCATGTTACCATTTTAGGAATACAAAAGCTCCTCTTTGCTTAAGGAAAGCAAGTAGCTGGATATAACTTCCCACTGGAACATAAAGGTAGGACATATACCTGTCTCCATCTCTAGGCCTGACATGATGGAGCCACCACTCTGGGTCCTGGATCAAGCTCACCGTTTCACAGCAGTTCCGTGCTCTGGCTTTATCAAGAAGAGACCTGGGAAAACAGATCTCAGAAGTGGGCGCCTACTCAGGCTGGCCATGGATGTGCCACCCAAAAGAGCCAGTCACCCCATACCCAAGCTGAGACACCTTCAGCCCTCCTCCTCACCCTACTGAGGCCTGACCTCTGGGGTGGCGTGGTCCCCTGGGACCAGCCGCTGCACGCAGGCACACTTATCTGTGGAGCTGAATAGGGGGGTGGGGGTGATGGAGAGGGGTGCAGAAGAGACAGAGAGGGGCGGAAGAAACCGAGGCACCTCTGTGCCTTTCATCTTCCTGGGTGCTCAGTGAAGAAATGTCAAAACGGAGTGGAATTTTTTTTAACAGTGGTAGAACGCCAGAAAATGCAGACAGTTGACCTTGGGAGCCCACACCATCGCAGCGGGAAACGCGAAAGAAACGAAGCACGTTGGCAAGTGAAGGGGGAGCGCAGCGGCCCCGCCGCCCAGGGCTGTGGGGGTGGGGACGCAGAAGGGGTGCTCACCGTAGATCATGGCCAGTCCGGTCTCGTGCAGGAAGCGCACCCGGCGGTGCTTGAACAGCCAGATGGTGAGGATGGTGAGGGTGAGCAGCAGGATGAAGGTGAGCAGGCTCACGCTGTCCTGCCGGTGGCTCTCCTCCGCCTCCTTCTCAGTTGCGAGCTCCTCCATGGCGCTACTGTCCTCGGCCGCCGCCCTAGCAGAGGAGGCCGCGGCCCCTGCACGCAGCCCCCGACCCAGGAGCAGCGGGAGCAGCGGCAACAGTAGCAGCCGCGGTGGCAGTG